CACCCCCAACATCTCCCCACCCCCACCCCCTGAGCTGTTATAAAGCGCGTACAGATATTGTTTGGTGTTTTTTGTGTTCTGTGTACACAGTTTATTTGACAAATTATTTCATTGAATGGCACCAACTGTAAACTATTACGGAGAAAAGGTGCACGTTCAACTGCGTTTAAACGAAAATATCTCCGATCAGACTTAATGTAACAGCATAATCTGCTCTCTTTCCTTTACTTTAGGAATAGCTACACTCAACCTAAATGGTTCCAACAAGAGATAGGCACTATACTGAAATTGTGTGAATACGTACTCGAGATATTAAAAACCAATGTTTATTTGCAATTAGTATTAAAGTCCCCCAAATGAACCTCGTGATCGTGTGTGATAAAAACTGTGTCCCTACCCTAATGTTATATACCCTTGTTCTGTAGTTATACCTCTGTGGTTAAATAATGGGTTGTTAGCAATCGCAGGGTCCTGTTAATAGTTACGATCACTTGATAAGTTTACGAACAAAAATCCTTTGGAAGGTAAAAACATGTCATTAAAGAAATGAAAGTCATGTTTCCTAACAAGGTGTTTATTTTGAATGTGACCTCCATTTTTATATTAACAAATTAAATAGGCAGCAACAGCGTCCATACCTCAAACCATGTGCTGAGAAGTGATTTTGTCTCCAGGGCTGAATGTCACTACGACTTAGGCTCCCTGTCTGTCCTCTTGCAGACAAAGCACGTGAGGTCATTCCACTGTAGGCTGTCGTACGTACTGTAACCCCATCTTAAATTCGTTTGGTGAAATGCCGTTGACCAGACTGCTCAGATGGTTAAAACGACAATATTGTTATCAGATATTCCAGGGTTAGAGTTCAGAATTAAGATCTGGTACCGTTGAATTTTTATTCGCAGAACACCGTTATACAATATTTCATCTTCATTATTATTTTCACAAAATTTCTACAAGATATGGGTTATTAAATGATTTATTAAAGGTTTTGTCAGGCTTGTTAAGCAGCTACAATTCATAGTTACACATTTATTTGGGCAGTGGTACGGGTATCCTTCATTTTGCGTCTAGATCATACCAGTGGCTTTTCACTTCACCTACAACGTGAGTAAACACAGGTCATACATTCAATTATATACCAGTTCTATATTACACATTTATACAGATTCAATATACCACAGTTAAACCAGAACAAACAGATCTGTGGGACGTCTATGTCTAGTAGCTCTGATTCCGGTAATCTTCTCTTATCCAGGTCGCTTTAGTTTGTATTAGTATTCCCTTTTCGACTCTGTAGTGCAATTCAATTCAATTTCGAATCCCTTGTTATACTTTTCACCATAACATATATTGATTACGTATCAAAAAAGCCAATGTGACCTGGATAATCCAATTATTTGTACATGTAATCACTTATCATGAAAGACGTTACATTTTTCTGTACGCTACAGTACTCCATTCCAACATTGCTGTATCGTTACAATACTTACCTTAAATGCCTGTGAATACATGATTAGTAATATTGGATTTGCATTCTGTTTTGAAAACATACAATGCATAAAACACCACCACGAAAACCCGTTTTCATGTTATTTTAACAATTAAACTTGAATAAAACATAATTTCACCAACAGTGTTCACAGTTGCTGTTCCCAAATTCTAGACACTCTGATAGCCGAGCATATTTTAGTATAGAAAAGACGAAACCAGCTAGGTACAAAAATATGCGCTCACCTACACTTTAATGACAGTTTGTGCTTTTGTAAAGATGGTTACTTTACACGCAACGTTGTTATTTAGCACAACCTATCAAGCAATTCAATGTTCCGCCAACACATTTAATTGATTTCTGTTAGAGTGGTTAATACATCGTGAATCTATTATCACATTTAATGTCTGAGCCCCAGGTGCTGATTCAGCAGTGCCGTGTATCACCTGATCACACACACCAGGCACATCCTACTTGTATATTAAACAGATAAGTACAGAACACTCACCTTGATTTTAAGTGATTACGCTTAGTCATGTAAAATCTCGTCATGATAACACAATGCCGTGACCAATACACATCAAATTGAATAAAAGTCAACGACATTTCATCTTTAATCATTTTAAATCAACAAATGACCAAATTGCCCTCAAGCTTGTAACTCAAACAGAGTTATCGATCCTTGGTAAAAGTTGTTTAATTTGTAACGGAATTTATTCTATTTTTGTGTTTTAGGATCAACAAGCACGGATGGACGAATTGATATTGAATATGTTTTGCATATAAAATAAATATAAATAATAAATGATTAAACATGCTTCTGTTACCATCTATAGCTTCCATCCATAAGCTGGTGATATACTCTAGCACACCTACACTGGAGGTAAGCAAGAGTTACTTCTCTTAGTCTCAGATAGACATGTATATCTATTTCTTCTTCGGGTTTTCTTTCAATAATTTTGATGTTAGAATTACTACTTTAAGATTCTTTTATCTTTTTACCCAATCAGATCAGTTGCCTTTTCTAAGTATGCAATAACAAATGGATACCTTGGACCGGCTGAAGTATAATCTAGATTTG